ACAAACTCCTTTCCCTTCCCCTCCCCACAACAGACACCCTGTGAGGTGGGTGGGGCTGAGAGAACTCTTGACAGAAACTTCTCTTTTTCAAGAACAGCTGTGCCAGAGTTATGGCTTGCCCAAGGTCATCCAGCCAGGTACAAGTGAAGGAGTGGGGAATCAAACCCGGTTCTCCCAGATTAGAGTCTGCACACTTAACCACTACACCAAACTGGCTGTTCTTCTTCATCATCTGTCCTGTCACAGTGACCAGCTTAGAATCGCAGAGCTGGAAGCGATCTCCAGGGTCATCTAGTCCAAACCCCTACACAATGTAGGAAATTCACAACTACCTTCCCCCCGCACCCCCAGTGGCCCCCTGCTCCATTCCCAGAAGATGGCAAAAAAACCCTCCAGGATCCCTGGCCAAACTGGCCTGGAGAAAATTGCTTCCTAACCCCAAAGTGGCAATTGGCATTTCCCTGGGCGTTTAAGAAAGGGCCACGAGAACTAAGCACTGGTGCAACCCTTCCTGCCCTCCCACTCATGATCTGCCTAAGTTCACAGAATCAGCATGGCTGTCAGATGGCCATCTAGCCATTTTGCTGACCTCGACGACCAACAACGAGGACTTGGAGGCCAAGGCTTTCCGTGAAGTTGCCTCCTGGCACTGATATTTCAAGGTTTATCGTGTCTGAATGTGGAGGTTCTGTTTAGTCGCTATGGATGGTAGCCGTTGAAGAATCTGTCCTCGCTAAATCGTTCTAATCCTCATCCATGCTAGTGGCCATCCCTACATCTGCTGGCAGTCAATTCCACAATTTAATTACTTGTTGAGTAAAGAAGTACTTCATTTGAAATGTGGTGCTGGCAGAGAGTTTTATGGATAGTAGGAAAAGAAGTAGACCCATCAGGAGATGGATTAACTCAATAATGGAAGCCATGGCCTTCAGTCTGCAAGACCTGAGCAAAACTATTAACAATGGGATGTTTTGGATGTCATTAATTCATAGCGTCGCCATAAGTCAGAAGTGACATAACCACACATAACACATACATTAACTCAAAGAAGGACTTCCTTTAGTCTGTTCTGAATCACCTTCATATCTATAATGCCATATGGCTAGCCTGTATGAAAACGGATTCGTGAAGAAACCACCTATATAGATGAAAATATAATGCGCCATAACTAGGGAAGTCAGACTCCAGGTGGGGCCTGGAGGGCTTCTGGAATTACAACAGATATCCAGATGATGGAGAAGAAGAGTTGTATTTATACCCCACCCTTCACTCGGAGTTGCAGAGCAGCTTATAGTCTCCTTCCTCTCCTCTCCCCACAACAGACTCCCTGTGACGTAGGTGGGGCTGAGAGAGGTCTGAGAGAACAGCTTGTTGGAAGGGAAGGCCTTGGTGCTGTCTCTTAGCCTCAGACTCCAGAGAGGAGGGTCTTACAAGAGAGTCAGGTAGACAGGCAAACTGTAGTGAGAGATCTGCAGAAAAGAAGAACTCATTGAGCTGACCTGCACTGTCCAGTGAAAAGAATTGATGTGCAGATGCCCTCTTTAAACCGCTCCTTAGAGAACGCTTTGAAGATCTAAGAAAGAAGATGAATGTTTGTAAGCTGAGTTATGAGATACCAAGAGGGGGTGTTGGAAGAGAAGGCCTTGTCACTGTCTTTTCGCCCCAGACTCCAGAGTAGGAGGGTCTTACAAGAGAGTCAGTTAGGTAGGCAGGCCAACTGTGGGTTCCTTCCAGTTTAGTCTTCTGATTCTCTTGTAAGACCCTCCTATCTGGAGTCTGAGGCTAAGAGACGGCGCCAGGGCCTTCTCTTCCAACACAGCTCTGAGAGAACTGTGTCTGTTCCAAGGTCACCCAGTTGTCTGCATGTGAAGGAGTGGGGAAAGGAACACAATTCTTCAGATTAGAGCCCACCACTCTTAACCACTACACCAAACTGGCTCACCTGGAGACAGTGTTTACTTCGGAGGGTGGACTCTATGGCATTATACACTGAAAGCCAGTTTGGTGTAGTGTTTATGAGCACAGACTCTAAACTGGGAGAACTGGGTTCGATTCCGCACTTCTGCACATGCAGCTGCTGACATGACCTTGGGTCAGTTACAAGTTCTTTCAGAGCTGTTCTCTCAGGAGCAGTCCTTGAAAGAGCTGCTTCAGCTTCACCGACCTCATTGGATGTCTGTTGTGGGGAGGGGGAGGGAAAGGAGATTGTAAACCGCTTTGAGACTCCTTCGGGTAGTGAAGGGTGGGGTATAAATCCAATCTCCTCTTCTTCTTCTTTCCCAAACCCCGCACTCCTCAGGCGCCACCTTTCAAAATCACCAGGTATTTCCCAACCAGGAGTTGTCAATCCCCCAAAGCTTCTCTCCACATCAGCCTCTTCCCTTCCCTTAAACCCAAATTCTCAGATACCTTGGTAATTTATTGTTTTTAAAAACACTTATTTTTAAAGTTATGTTGAAGAACAGAACAATTGCTACTAATAAGCTTTTAAAAAGTAAGGGCATGTAGACAACTTCAAACAGGGCCAGCTGAACCAATTTTTATACCTGAAGACGAGATTCTGTGTGGTACGTGTGTACATAGACCCTTTCCCCCCCAGATTAAAAATCTTAATCAGAGTAAACCAGTAGAAGGAGAAACTGAGAGTACGTTTTAAGTTAACTAAACAGAGGAACTTGTATCTCAGTACATAGTTTTTAAATTGCTAGATGTTCTTTGGTGGATCCCCACCCATTGAAACTTGGTCAGATAAATTCCAGATAAGTGTTTCCATGCCACATTTCATATATGACAAGATGTATTCCTTTCTGTTATTACAAACAGACTTCTCAGGCATTGTAACAGCAGAACGCCGAGCAAAGCATCTATCTTTGCAGCTCCTGTGGCAACTGTATGATAATTAACTCTTAATGGGGCGTGTGTTTACTTTGTTTATACCCCACTTTTCTCCCCAACAGGGACCCAAAAGTGGCTTACATCATTCTCCTCTCCTCACAACAACCCTGTGGGGTAGGTCAGGCTGAAAAGGAGTGACTGGCCCAAGATCACCAAGTTTCCGTGGCAGTCCAGCACTCTTAACCATACTACACCACACTGGATCTCAAGTAAGGAGTGATGACCAGTGAGGTGTGATGGTTTCAGTGTGATTTTGTTTAAACACTGAAGAGCCCCAAGTGAGTGTGTTTCAGCCCTGAGTAGCAAAAATGGCATATAGGGATGAGACATGTCAATTCTTTTATTCTACCGCCCCCACACTTATTTCCTCAAACCTCCTCTCGACTAGCCAAGATCGCATCCCATATTGCACACCAGCTGTGAAGAAAGTTTCACCCCAAGCACTTTCTCAGATACCTTGGTAATTTATTGGGGAGATCAGAGATCTTGGCAGGACAATGGTTCTGACTCTTTTTCTAACCAATTAGTGCCATCGGGTTTAGTGTAGTTTGGTTTTACACACATGGGTTTAGTTTGACATAACCGTTCTGTGACTGTGTCAGTTTCTTCTGTGTTTTAGCCCACACTCCCTCAGCCAGACCTTCTAACTTGGCCCCAAATAAGTGATCCTTTATAGCCTCTTTAATGATGCTTCAAGCCGGCCAACAATGGCCACAGTTTCCCTAACACCTGGTCTTAAATCAAGTTGAGTAGCTGTGTTAGTCTGTCTGTAGCAGTAGAAAAGAACAAGAATCTAAAGACTAACACTGGAGCTGCAGTGGCTCAAGTGGTTAAGATGCTGAACTGCAGGCTGTGGAAGGTCGGTAGTTCAGCAGTTCGAGACCTGGGTGCCGCATGATGGAGTGAGCTTCCATCTCTAGTTCCAGCTCCTGCCAACCTAGCAGTTCGAAAGCAAGAAATTGCAAGTAGATAAATAGGTACCACTTCGGTGGGAAGGTAACAGTGTTCCGTGCGCCTTGGTGTTTAGTCATGCCGGCTACATGACCACGGAAACGTCTTCGGACAGCGCTGGCTCTTCAGCTTTGAAACGGAGAGGAGCACCGCAACCCTAGAGTCGGATTCGACTGGCTTTCGAGCAAGGGAACTTTTACCTTTACCTTTAAAGACTAACAACATTTGTGTCAGGGGATCCAATGCTCCCTCTAAGCTGTGGAGTCTTGTGAGCAAAAATTCTACTTTGTGAGCTACTGGCATGTAAGTTGTGAGCGAGCGATTTGGCTACTGCATAAATTAGTTTGCCTCTGGAGCCATCCTTCCTGAGCTAATACAAACATGTCTGAGCTGGAGGCTAAAAAACTGTGAGCTAGCTCACACTAACTCAGCTTAGAGGGAATAAGATGAAAGCTCCTACCCTGCCACAAATTTTGTTAGTCCTTAAGGTGCGACTGGACTCTTGACCTGGTCTTAATTGAGCCTCAGCAAGGATTTAATAACATGATCTGAATGTACCCACTTTAAAACTCCTGGCTTTTGTGGCCTCTTTTTTTCAAGGGGGGGGGCGCCTTGGAGGTGAGAGGTGAGAGGAAGGCGGCTGGATCTACACTTTGTAAGAAACAGAAGACGTTGGCAGGTGTAAATATTGAAATAACGGATCTCAAAGGGTGGCTTTGATTTCCCCAGCTGTTATAGATGCTTTAGAAGCCTGTCACCATCCTGTTGTTTTGACACAAATTGGATTACTTGCTGTGCCAGAAAAATGTCTTTTGAAGTGTGTGAGGATGGCTGAGGGACTAATAATCCCCCTGCCGTTGACACATAGTTCTCACAGGGGTTGCCAACCTGTGCCCAGGTTGTACTGCTTTAAAGTGTGGTCGGTGGGACCTTACTTTCTGGCCCAGTTGCCCAAAGCGTTGGTCCTTTCTAGCCTACAGAAATCTTGGTTTTCTATTATTTCTATTCTGTTGTAGGACGTGTTTTGTGTGTGTCTGAGTTAAAGGCTGGCTGGCTCCCACATCTCCTTGCAGATTTTCTCCCCCAATTTGGATCTCTTAATAACCACATTTGTTTCTGTCTTCTCTCTCCCACCCTTTTTGTTTCCTGTTCAGCGTTTCTGAAAGGGTTGAGTGCTAAGCAGAGGCGAGACCATTATTTCACCAAGGATTTCATTAAACTGAAGCAAATGCCCTCATGGAAAGAAATGGCAAAAAGTGAGTCTCTTGAAAGCTCTCCCTTCCCCTCTCAGTGTAATTCCATTGGTTACTGTGTATTTCTGAGGGAAACTCAAGGGTGGGATTGTGTGTGTGTGTGTGTGTGTGTGTAGGGGGGGAAATTATTGGGATATTGTGGAGTTGTGTGGGTTTATAGCTAGTGTGGGTTAGGGGCCAGAGTGTTGGACTAGTAGGACCTGGGAGAATTGGGTCAGAGTCCTCATTCTGTCATGAAACTGACTGGGTAACCTTCTGCCATTCACTTTCTCTCAGCCTAATTTACCTCACAAAAGCAATGGCAAAACCACCTCTGTCCCTCTCTTGCCTTGAAACTCCTGTGAGGAGTTGCCATAAGTTGTGATTTGACGACATCATCATCATCTTACCTCACAGAGTTGTGAAAATAACATGGGGTGAGGGAAGAACCATTTATACTGCCTTGAGCTTCTTAGAGGAAGAGTAGGATGAAAATTCATAGATGGCTAAATGTCAGGATCCACGCTTCTGTCTGTCCATCGTCATCTGGGAGACTGGGGCTGCCTTGCCGGTGTACATAGGTGGAGAACCATCAGAAATTTGAAAATAAGGGTAAAGTGTTAGGCTGAGTATAAGGAAGAAGCTTTTCTTTCACAGCCTCTCATTCCTATAAGCTGATACGTCTACCTCTGGTTTATAAAGTGCCCCCACTCTGGGCATTGACCCACACAACAGTATCAAGGGGGTCTCTTGTTGACAAAACGGTGTGGTACTTCTCCAGACTTGGAAAGGAAAAGAGTGGAAGACAGAAATCAAGTTTATTGAGAGGAATTACATGATGAGCTGGGCTGGAGAACTAACTAGCAAACTTATGCAGTCAGAATAGCATTGAGCTGCTCAACGATATTGTCCAGTGTGAGAGGGCCTTCTGAAAGGAGCTAAATTTTCTGTGCACCCACGTGCTGGCAAGATCGTCTGCTGCAGCAGGGAGGCCCAAGATGGTAAAATAGGGGCTTCAGCTATGCAGGTCGAAGCAAGAGTCCCAGGGAGGAGTCCAAACTTCTCAGCAGCACACGATCCAAAGGAGAAGAGGAGATGTGTTTCATGTGTCAGCAGGCGCTGGATTGTTCACATAGGCCATTTATGTGCCACCTTTGCTGTTTTTAAAAAGTGCTTGAGGCAAATAAAAGACAAACATGAACAGAACAATGCAATTAATTTAAACCAATCAAAACGTATTTAGTTGAACATAAAACTACAGGAATGACTTCGTTTAAAAAGGCCATTTGAAATAAATAGACAGAGTCTTTAGCTGATGGCCCAAGGCCTACAGTGAGGAGACTAAATGTAATTCCAGGGGGAGGGAGCTCCAGAGGTCAGGGGTCAGCTGCAGAGAACGGCCCTCACCAAAAGGACTTCTCTAATTGTGTGTAATTGAGATCCTTGGATGGTTTTTGGGTGCAAGCAAGTACATGAGGCGGAAGTAGAACATTCAGGTACTTTTGAAGGTTTTAAAGGTCAACCCCACTACTTTGCACTGAATCTGGAAGCAAACTGGGAGCCAAGGTAATTGGTTGGCTCCACGACTTCCAGATTTTTCCCAGCTCTGCTGTGATTTCCCCCAAACTTGGTTTGGCATGATCTTTCCTGGAAGATGGTACCTCAAGTGGATTTGGGAAAATGCAGAAGGGAAGGTGTGGATTTCAGCAACTCTCCACCCACTTCTGGTGCCATTTCCCATCTTGGCCTCCCATTCACTCCATCACCAGGGGCAAGCTTTTTGCAGGTTTTTAAAGAAAGGTATCAGTGGACAGTATGTCACTCCAAAAAGCCCACTGGTTGGCAGGAGGGGAAGCACAGAATAAATACATGCAAAAACTATGTCGCTGCTGAGAATGGATCTACATTTGCAAAAGCAGAGCAGAAAGGGGAATCGTCCCTGAGTAGAGACAGGTATCATACACTCATTGCGGCAAACCCCTGTTCACAAGACTAGTCCTGGGCAGTTAAAAGGTCCAACTCCTCGTTACATAGTACAAATAACATGCACACAAGGACCAATTATTTCAGCCCAATAAGGCCTTCTTCAGAGGTCAACCTGTTTGAGGTACAAATAGGCTCATGTTAACATAAGAACATAAGAGACGCCAATGTTGGATCAGGACAAAGGCCCATCTAGTCCAACACTCTGTCACACAGTGGCCAAAAATACCAGGTGCCATCAGGAGGTCCACCAGTGGGGCCAGGACATTAGAAGCCCTCCCACTGTTCGCCCCCCCCCCAAGCACCAAGAAGACAGAGCATCACTTGCCCCGGAGCCCCTATCTATACCTTGTGGCTAATAGCCACTGATGGACCTCTGCTCCATATGTCTATCTAATTCCCTTTTGAAGCCGTCCATGCTTGTACCGCCACCACCTCCTGTGGCAGTGAATTCCATGTGTGAATCACTCTTTGGGTGAAGAAGTACTTCCTTTTTTCCGTTCTAACCCGACCGCTCAGCAATTTCATGGAGTGCCCACGAGTTCTTGTATTGTGAGAAAGGGAGAAAAGTACCTCTTTCTCTACCTGCTCTTTCCCATGCATAAGCTTATAAACCTCAATCATGTCACCCCTCAGTCGTCGTTTCTCCAAGCTAAAGAGCCCTAAGCGCCTTAACCGTTCCTCATAGGGAAAGTGTTCCAACCCCTTTATCATTCGAGTTGCCCTTTTCTGCACTTTTCCCAAAGCTATAATATCCTTTTTAAGGTGTGGTGACCAGAACTGCACACAGTATTCCAAATGAGGTCGCACCATTGATATAATCCTATTGGTTGCATTTATCGAGACCGTGCAATCCTACTAGAGTCTCTGTGAGAGGGGCAGGCTCTAAAGTGAATAAATTGACCTGCAAACCACTTTCCCAGCTCCTATGATCCCTGTAGAAGTCTGAGATCCATTTTTCATGCTTACCAAGAGAAAAGAAACGTGACCTATCACAATTTTGGACTCCTGAGAAGCCATGTTGCTGCTCACATTCACCTTCTTGCCTATAGAACAGCCCTCCCCGCCCCCAATGTGGCATCCATGGCTACAGTGGTGCCTGCTGACACCTATCCTGGGACCCACCCAGTGTGTTTAGAAAGTGGGCGGGGTCAGATAGGGCTTTTGCCCAGCGAGGCTTCTGATTGGCCACTGGAGATTCAATGAACTGTGCAGATTCTTTAAAATGTTGCTCTGGCAGCAGGATCCCCCTTGTCCACATGTTTGTTCACCCCCTCAAAGAACATTAACAGGTTAGTGAGACAAAATCTTCCTTTAAAGAACCCATGCTGAGTCTGCCTCAATTGGTTTTGTTCATCTATGTGCCTACTAATTCTTTCCTTAATAATGGTTTCCACCAATTTAGTAGGTATCGACGTGAGACTGACTGGCCTGTAATTTCCAGGATCTCCTCTGGAACCCTTTTTAAAGATGGGAGTGACATTAGCTACCTTCCAGTCCTCAGGAATGGAGGCAGATTTTAAGGAAAGATTACATATTTTTGTTAGGAGATCCACAAGTTCACATTTGAGTTCTTTCAGAACTCTCGGATGTAGCCATCTGGGCCTGGTGATTTATCAGTTTTTAAGTTGTCTATCAGTTTTAGGACCTCCTCTCTTGTCACCTCAATCTGGCTCAGGTCTTCTGTTACAAAGAACTGTCAAAGAATCTGTTACAAAGAACTGGCAAAGAATATGCCAATATTGGACCAAAAAAGCGATGTTTCTAAGCGAAATTAATAGACACAAGACCAGAATGTTTATGAGGCCTCTTAGGAGCGAGGCATGCGGCCAGTGCATATGCACAGGTGGTAAAAGACGTTACTGTTGTGTATCTTCCAGTTCTGGCCTAGAAAGTAACAATGTAATCAGTTCATCAGAGCCAAAATGTCCCCAAGTAGAAATTGTATTGGCAGCCACAGCGATGAAGGGGCTTCCAAAGAAAAGTGTCGCCATGTGGAATTGCCCAGGTGCTGTTGACTGTGTTCTCACTTGGAAAGCCAGGGTTTTGGAGGTCATTAATTCATGGCGTCACTGTGAATTGGAAGCAACTTGACAGCACTTAATGCACACACATGCATGCCGGGGTGGTGCTGACTCATCAGCAATTCTTGTGATACCCTTTGGGGCAAGCTGTATGCCAGCCGGGAACGGCCTGGAGCATGTTGGCAGGAGGCGGGATCACTTAGCTGTTCTTCTCCTGGAAGGGAGCTGGGAGGTTGCAAACAAACCTCCAGGCCCTTTTGCTGCTGGTTCATAGAGGTACTGAACAATGTTTCCTCTAAGCTGAGTTAGTGTGAGCTAGCTCACAGCTTTTTAGCCTCCAGCTCACACCTTTTTGTCTTCGCTCAGGAAGGATGGCTCCAGAGCAAACAGATTTATGTAGTAGCCAAATCGCTTGCTCACAACTTTAATACCGGTACCTCACAAAGTAGCATTTTTGCTCGCAAGACTCCATAGCTTAGAGGGAGCATTGGTACTGAAATGAGTGACCTCTCTCACTCACCATTTTTCCCCTGCCAGGTGCCCGGGTTAAGCCCCCAGAAGAGGCCGTCTACCCGAAAGACAATCATCTGAACGAGAAGATCTCTCTCTTCCGTGGCGATATCACCAAGCTGGAGGTGGACGCAATTGTCAACGCTGGTGAGTGAATTTAACTTGCCGTTGTTCATGAACGGAATTTCTTTTGGCTTCTGGGGGGTTTGTGTGTGCCTGAGATTTATTCCAGGTCATGGCTTGTGCGGGCTTGGAAACTTGATGATGGGATTCCTAAGGTTGGCAATAGCAGAGGTCAAATATGTATCCCCCCGCCCCCCCAAGCCAGGTTTTTGTGCTGCAGTTTTATTTAATAGCAGAGCGGAAGAAACAAATGTTTGTTTGCGTCTGTTGTACTCCCTTCAGATCAATTGTCTGTCTCCAGCTTTAGTAATGGAGTTTGTCCCACAGAGCATCATTTTAGTCTAGAAAGAAATGATAGTACGTTTGGGTGGTTTTTTGCAAGTGGAGCTGCTGGTCGCAGTGTATACTTTTGCGAGGACTTCTTTGTTTTGCTGGCGTTCCTGCCTGCCCTGTGTTTGAATTGCTGTTCCTGTGTTTTTGCATGTGTATTTGACTTTTGGTTTTAATTGGTTTTACGATGGGACAGTGCAGGGCTCTGTTTTAAAGTGTTAGCCGCCTTGGTGGGCCAATGTTCCCTCTAAGCTGTAGAGTCTTGTGAGCAAAAATTCTACTTTGTGAGCTACTGGCATTAAATCTGTGAGCGAGCGATTTGGCTTCTACATAAATTAGTTTGCTCTGGAGCCCTCCTTCCTGGGCTGAGACAGAAATGCGTGAGCCGGAGGCTAAAACACTGTGAGCTAGCTCACACTAACTCAGCTTAGAGGGAACACTGGTGGGTGGCCCTGATTGGGCAGAAAGGCGGGATACAAATTTGGTAAGTAAATAAAAATACGCTCAGTCGGTCCTGGCTGTGGATTTGTACATTTCTGTATTGCTTCCCCCCACCTCCACAAAACCTGCTTCACCAAATGTGACAGAGTGGGAGAAAAGAAATGCATGAGTATGCTCTTGGAAGGGATGCCTCTCTCAAGCTGTTTTCAACTCTCTCAAAAGAATTCATTCTGCTTAAGAATACCCGTTACCATTCACGATGCTGAACAAAATAAACCTTTAAAAAAAAAAAAAGAATCGGTGGTTCATGCTGATTGCGAAAAGATATGGGATAGGGGAGATGTTGGGATGTATCCTGTGACTCCATTCAGGTGGACGAGCTTTCTGCTGGTGCAAGGTGTTTCCAGATCCAACCCATCTCATCTCTGGGCTGGCGTTGACCTAGTGAGGCTGAATGGCCTCTAAAGAAAGGATTAGTTGGGCTTAAGTAAAGTCTTCGTAAACTGAATTATAAACATCTGGACTGGCGGGAAGGATGGGGTTATATAACAAGCAAGAAACGAAGTATGGGGACATTTGTGGTAACCAACCACATGCTTTGTTCAAGTGAACAGTCTTCCCCACCAGGGTGGCATTCAGGCAGATTGGCTGGTTCCACCTGCCCAGGCTCTAAAAACCAGGAGGGGAAGAAGTTGGTACAAGGCTAATAACAGAATCGGTGTTCAGATCATTTATAGGAATGCCTTAGCATAAGAATGTTTTAGCAATACGTTTTGCAAATAGGGTGGCAAAAGTTGGGCTTATCCCACAGCAGCAAATGCTGCTTTGCCAGACTCTTTGTGCGCACCCTTCACCAAGGGCCCAGCTACATTTTGCGTTATCTTTCAGGCTTGCACAGTCAGACTGTGAACGGAGTTCTCTGTTGGGAACTCAACTTCAATGTGTCCGGGGTCCATTGGATCAGGACCATGCTGTGCAGGGAGAGGGGCTTAGGCCTTCTCCCCCTGATGTTTTCCTGACCTGAAATGGGCCCAGGAGGTGCTGTTTGCCGTGTAGGAGGGCTCCACATGTAGTGATGGGATATACCTAGGCTTCTCAGACTAGGTAAATAGCACCCTCTGGGGCCATTTCAGCTTGAGAAAACAGTGCTGGGGGGAACATAATTCCCCACTCCCAGTATGCTGTGACCTCAACCATGCGATCCTGGAAGCTGAGTTCCTAGCATGGAACTTATGACACACAGCTGATTGCATGCATCTGTGGAGGTCCTGGGGAAAACCTAATGTGTAGTTTACTCAACTGTTACAGCATCAAGGAGCTGCGGTGGCTCAAGTGGTTAAGATGCTGAACTGCAGGCTGTAGAAGGTCAGTAGTTCAGCAGTTCGAGACCCGAGTGTACCGCATGATGGAGTGAGCTCCCGTCTCTAGTTCCAGCTCCTGCCAACCTAGCAGTTCGAAAGCAAGAAATTGCAAGTAGATAAATAGGTACCAGTGGGAAGGTAACAGCGTTCCGTGTGCCTTGGTGTTTAGTCATGGCGGCCACATGACCACGGAAATGTCTTCGGACAGCGCTGGCTCTTCGGCTTTGAAACAGAGATGAGCACCGCAACCCTAGAGTCGGATTCGACTGGCTTTCAATCAAGGAAACAGCATCAAGACACACAGAGATTTGCAAGGCACAGGTGTCATTCCTAGCAATATACAGTAGAGGGCACCAAAGCCTTACGGTTCCGGGACCCGTCTGACTAATTTTGCTCCCTCAATAAATCAAGCTGTTTATTAGTGGAATAAAAGTCTTTGCTAACAAGAGGTTTTGTTGGCGCTTCATAAATCCTGCCTCTGTGCATCATGAAGCCCATATGTGCTTAATTCATATGTAAAGTCGCAAGTGGGACTATAATAGGTGTCCATTAAATTCTAGGAGACCCGATAATTATCATTAGCCGCAAGTAATTACCTGTGCGGATCGAGGCCAGGAGCTGTTAGCTGCCGTCGCTGCAGTGCCAAGTGTGGTGGGTGGGTGGGGAGGTCATGCATCTCCAGGACAGCAGGGTGGGCTACACCATGCAGGTAGAGGGGACAGACGGAGCCTTTCTTTCCTATTAACCTTGATTCCCTGCTGAGATGGAGAGTGCCTGAACTCTTGCACCACATGATTACAGTGGAAATGCCAGCAGCAGGCAGCCAGGCCATGGCGAGGAAAGCGGCTAGACCCTTGCAGGACAGGACACGGCCCTCATATGTTCATAGGCACATATGGACATATGTTCATAGTTCACTGCCACAAGAAGTGGTGGCAGCTACAAGCATAGACAGCTTCAAGAGGGGATGGGATAAACATATGGAACAGAGGTCCATCGGTGGCTATTAGCCACAAGGTGTAGATGAAGAAGAAGAAATTGGATTTATATCTCGCCTTTCACTACCTGAAGGAGTCTCAGAGTGGCTTGCAATCTCCTTTCCCTTCCCCTCCCCACAACAGACGCTCTGTGAGGTAGGTGGGGCTGAGAGAGCTCTTTCGAGAACTGCCCTTGAGAGAACTGCTCTGAAAGAACTTGTGACTGACCCAAAGTCACACCAGCAGCTGCATGTGGAGGAGCTGGGAATCAAACCCGGTTTCCCCAGATTAGAGTCTGCGCTCTTAACCACTACACCAAAATGGTTCTCACTACATCAGACTGGAACACTCTGTCTGGGGCAGTGATGATCTGTATACTTGGTGCTTGGGGAGCAACAATGGGAGGGCTTCTGGAGTTCTGGCCCCACTGATGGCGCTTGGGCTTTTGGCTACTGTGCAACACAGAGTGTTGGACTGGATGGGCCACTTGACTGATCCAACAGGGCTTCTGTTATGTTCTCTGTGTATCTCCAGAAAGTCTCCAAACAGATAGGCCTGAAGAGAAGCTGGCTACCTGGGCTTGCATCTATGACTTGCTGAACTGCCCATTCTAACGATTAGTGTAGTGAGCTTAGTTGCTGCAACGATGCCTTCAGCAAGCTCCTATTTAGGACATGATGACCATTATTAGGGACTCGATCTTATCTGCCCGTACTTCTCAAGACTTTGATCTGGCAAGGACTATTTTCCTGGAGAGCTTCTCCAGTGCCCAGACTAGCCGCTGAAAGAGCGAATGAGCTGTGACCCCTCCCACTGTTCACCTGTGTTTCTGTCATGGGCTGTGCGCGCGCCTGCATTTAAAACACGTGTTGCTGGCTTTGATTCCACTGCGGCTTGGGGTGCTCACCCAGTTCTCTCCTTCCCCGGCCCCACAGCCATAATGGACAAAATGCAGGAGCCTCGGCTCTCTCTGGCCGAATCTGCATTTGTCTTTCCCACCGGTGTCCCAGCCTTTTGACTTCGTCTTCAAAAAAGCTGTCTACATTTGGTGTCGTTTTCACACCTCAACAGTGCTAGCATACTTTTGCACGTCTGCATATGTTTACCATCCTTTCGGGGCAGCTCCACTGTCATTGCACCTCTGCTCTGCTTTAAAAGAATCTTCTCCAAACAACATCCAAACAAGCATAGAGAAAGATGGTGTCACAGCAGCACGGAGCTGGTTTAAAAATGCAAATGCAGATTCGACCTCTGTCTCTTGACAGTGCTCAAGTAGGGGGCTCTGCTTGCTCAGGAGTGGGAACTGAATTTATGGCCTGTTGTTACTGCTCTGGGTGGAGTTGCCCTTGAAGGAGCCGGTCTGCAGCTCAGCGGTACGGTTAGTATCTCAGATGCCCAAGTGGCATTGGTAGCGTACGGTGCCTTCAGACCACTTGGGCCACTGCGCTGACGGTGGTGCCGTTTGATGGCAGGGCCCCGTTGGACTCTCCCTGGCTGTTTGTCACGGACAAGCCCCCATCTGCCCTGCAAATCCCTCTGCTGCAGATCAGGGGCCGGGGCAAGAGAATTGTCAAGCCGTGGTCCCCGGGAGCAGTGTCGTCGTCACGCCCTTTGGCACCTTTTCCCCGTTGCCTTGGCTGGTGCCGCTGCTCCTTCAGGCTTTCCCCAGGGTTGAGCTTTAGCTCCTAGAACAGCTTGCCCTTGCAGGGGCTGCCCCCCCTCCCCCGGGGACAGGTGACCGGCTTGGCACCTCCTTGCCGTGCCCCCCTCCACTACCCAGCTATCAGTGAGTTCTGCTGAGGTGTGCGAATGGGCACTCGTGTTTCTCACAGGACGGGGATAGCCTTGCCACAGTTATCTATTTGTGAGTGGCGTCCAGGTTACTTTTTAGGTTTCTTACTTGTAAGCAATGCTCCCTCTAAGCTGTGGAGTCTTGTGAGCAAAAATTCTACTTTGCGAGCTACTGGAATTAAAGTTGTGAGCGAGCGATTTGGCTGCTGCACAAATTGGGTTGCCTTGGAGTCATCCTTCCTGAGCGAAGACAAAAATCTGTGAGCTGGAGGCCAAAAAAAAAGTGAGCCAGCTCACACTAACTCAGCTTAGAGGGAACACTGCTTGTAAGATGCCTTGAGGGCTCCTTGTAAAGCTGGAAGATACGGTAGGAAAAAAGAGGAGCCGTGGCTTAGTGGAAGAGCCCCTGCTTGGCATCCAGAAGGTTCCAGGTTCAGTCCCTGGCATCTGCAGTTAAAATGATCGGGTAGGAGGTGATTACTTGACCTGGAATAGGCCAGGCTGGCCCAATCTCATCAGATCTTGGTCAGTATTTGGATGGGAGGCCACCAAGGACTACCAGGGTTACTGTGTAGAGGCAGGCGATGGCAAACCACCTCTGAATACCTCTTTCCTGGAAAGCCCTACAGGGTTGCTATCAGGGCTCTTTTTGTAGAAAAAGCCCAGCAGGAACTCATTAGCATAATAGGCCACACCCAACAGCAGGAACTCATTAGCATATTGGACCACACCCCTGACAGCACAGCTCATTAGCACATTAGGCCGCACCCCCATGTTACCAGAAGTGTGGTCATCCAGCCACACCCACCTTTTGCTCCTTATTCTGTTTACCTTGTTTGTTGTCAAAACCCAGGGCCTTTTTTGGTAGCAGGAACTCCTTTGCATGTTAGGCCACACACCCCTAATGTAGCCAATCCTAATGAGTTTCTGCTGTTGGGTGTGGCCTATTATGCTAATGAGTTCCTGCTGGGCGTGGCCACCTCGGGAGCCAGGTGGAACTCCGTTCCTGTGCGTTCCTGCCCCAAAATAGCCCTGGTTGCTATAATTCAGCTGCAACTTGTTGGCCAAGGAAGTAAAAGTAGGTGACTGGAAAGACTTCTCTCTGAAACCCTGGCGAGCCGTTGCCAGTCTGAATAGACAGTACTGACCTTGATGGATCCGTGGTCTGATTCAGTGTAAGGCAGCTTCATGTGTATGTCTTAAATTAATACATGAACTAAGATTTGCTTCTTGACCCAGGAACTTCTGGGCCCAGCTATCCCTTCTCTTTGGGGAAGTTTCCCCACACGTGCTTTTTCAGCAATCCATGGTTAGCTTTTCTTGAAAGCCACCAATGGGTTTCACCTGGGGTCACCTGGCAGTGATTCCAGCCTTTGCGCTGCCCATTGGTGATTTTGTTTTTTGGAGGGGGTTGTACCTCGATGTCGCCCCATTTTTGTTGGAGAAGAAACCGCAGACCGCCAGCTGGCAGAAAGATCAGAGCGAAGCGATCCGCCACTTCTTCTCCCCAGCTGGGTGTTTTATGGATAGATGAATGGATCTAGCTGCTGTGTATCCCTCTGTATTATGAATTGTCGCCTTATAACGACAATAGTTATGGGACCGCGAAGTGCAGGAGACAAAGCTCTAGGCAGATATTACGATGCCGAACTGTCAGCGTAAATCGCTTTGCCTGTCACTTCGGCGATCCAATTGCTTGCGGATGTTCGCCGCTGCTCGGGAAGAGGAAGAGAGGAGGTGGGAGCTGAGCCAGCGTTGTGACTCGGGAAGCTGCTTTTGTGGCAAATTCTGTTCTGGCACGCATCCAGAAACGGGTGTGGCGGCGTGCCGAGGTGTCCTCTCCCAAAGTTGTATTGTCCACTTGGAATCGGGTAGATGCTGTAGTGTCCTAATGATCAGATTGCACCTTACAAATGTTTTCCGATAACAGCAGCGCCTTGGCCTGGTCAACGAAAACGTCCCCTGAGGCAAAGAAGGGAAGGCTCCTAAGACTGGGGGACATATCTGTGGGATCCAACGTCTTGTGTAGAAAGCAAGAAGTTAAATGTGGAATAAGTAGTGTTAGGGGAGTACCGCTGATTAGGAGCAACTAAATTTTTCCCCTCTACTGGGTGGACAGGGCTCTACCTACAGCTTATTTTCACAAGTGTGATCACTGGCCCCACTGGTGGACCTCCTGACGGCACTGGTATTTCTGGCCACTGTGTGATACAGAGTGTTGGACTGGATGTATGTATATATGTATATATGTAAGACGATAATTATCAAACTAATACATTATCACAAACATAATTAAAGGTATGAAACAATTCAAGATGCTAGACATGAATCAGTAGAGGAGGAAATATCTGGGTGCTCAACTAATAGGATGACAAGTGTGATTACTGTGGGAGGTAGGCTAATGGGACCCCTGGTAGAACAGGTCCAGGTGGTATACTCTGACCTGAGGCACCTTAAGAACATAACAGAAGCCAATGGCCATCTAGTCCTACACTCTGTGTCACACAGTGGCCAAAGCCCAGGTGTCGTCAGGAGGTCCACCAGGGGGGCCAGGACTCCAGAAGCCCTCCCACTCTTGCCCTCCAAGCACCAAGAATACAGAGCATCAGTGCCCCAGACATAAGAGAAGCCATGTTGGATTCAGGCCAGTGGCCCACCCAGTCCAACGCTCTGTGTCACACAGTGGCCAAAGCCCAGGTGCTATCAGGAGGTCCACCAGGGGGGCCAGGACTCCAGAAGCCCTTCTACTCTTGCCCTCCAAGCACCAAGAATACAGAGCATCAGTGCCCCAGATATAAGAACATAAGAAAAGCCATGTTGGATCAGGCCAGTGGCCCACCCAGTCCAACGCTCTGTGTCACACAGTGGCCAAAGCCCAGGTGCTATCAGGAGGTCCACCAGGGGGGCCAGGACTCCAGAAGCCCTCCTACTCTTGCCCTCCAAACACCAAGAATACAGAGTACAAGAATACAGAGTTGAACACATGAAGCTGCCCTCTTCTGAGTCAGCCTGTTGGCCTGCCAAGGTCAGTGCTGTCTGTTATGACTGGCAGCAGCTCTCCAGAGTCTACTTCAGCAGTCTTTCAAATCGTTTCCTATCCGATCCTCTTAAGGGGAGTTGCTGGGGATTGAATTCGGGACCTTCTGCGTGCAAAGCAGGTATGCTGCTGGTGAGCCACGTTGTTTAAATGCAAGAATTTTGCAGTTGCTGCTCAGTTGTCGCCTGAGGTTCAGGCATCTTTTATCCAGACAGCCTTTCTGTTTTTACGGAAACGGCATCTTCCCAGCACGCGGAGTGGAAAAAAGGAGGTAAGCTGGAGGATGGAGGCCAGACGTCTGTCAGTTGGAGGGAAGGGAGGGGGCTCAGTATACCTGCAGATGGACCTCTCTACAGTAGGAGGTGTGGATGAAGATATTCTCCTGGTCTCTTTCCTGCAAAGTGCTGAGTGACAAACTCATGCCAGACTAGAGTTGCCAGGTCCCCCCCGGCCATTGGTGTTTGTGTGGTGGGGTAGGGTTGCCAGCTCCAGGCTGGGAAACTCCTGGAGGTTTGGTGGTGGTGCTTGGGGAGGACAGGGAATTCAGTGGGGTGCGATGCCATAGAGCAGAGGTGTCGAACTCATTTGTTATGAGGGCCGGATCTGACACAAATGTTGCTTTGTCAAGCCAGGCCATGTGTGCCATAAAATGTAATGCCGGGTACTGGAGATATAAACTTTATAAAGGACAGCAACTGGTAAGTTCTGCAAGGCCCCATGGGCTGGGAGGGTGTGCAGAGGAAAACCCACACAGGCGGACTGGAGAGCCAGCAGTGCAGTGCTGGGCAGACACTTCTGTGCCCCAACAGAGGACCATCTGCACTCCCTCACATGCATATGCTGATCCCTGAGGCCATCCGGGACAGCACCCCGAAGCTGCAGGCCGAGTGGAGAGGTATGAATGCGGCTCTAGTGGTTCCCAGCTTACCATTCCCTGAAGTGAAGGGGTTCTGCTTGACTGCTGCAGATGAGGTTGTTCTGCCGTGCTGAATCCACAGTCAGAGTGGCTCTCCACCCCCTGAGCAGCCTCCTATTCCTTCCCTTGCACCAGTTGCTCACAAGCCGCATAACAGCACTGGAGTGGCCAATTCCGGCTCCTGGGCCTTATGTTTGACACCCCTGCCTTAGAGTTCACCCTCCAAATCATTCATTTTCTCCAGGGGAACAGATTTCTGTAGTCTGGAGATTAGTTGTAATGCCAGGAAATCCCCAGGCCTCACTTAGAGGCTGGCATCCCAGTGTCAGACCCCTCAGATGGTAGGTTGTTGGAAGGTGGGGGTAGACACCGGCAGTGGCATCGAGTTTCTAGCACTCATTCTTGTGGATGTGGTATGTCTGAGGGCAGTGGCTGCAATCCACCACAAGTTATATCTTGACAAAGGCCCAAGTCAGGGGAACAAATTTGTTGCCACTACTGTTTCTTTCAGGGAGATTTAGGGCCTGAGTAGACATGACTGCAAAAAGAGAAGAGAGTCCACAGCATTTATGCAAACGTAGATCTTTCCAATAACTACGCTCCATGTGCACGGGCATTACAGCGACAGGAGGGCAAGCAAATCGTAACAAGAGCTGATGGAGACAATGAGTGGTGACTGGGAGAGAAGGCCAGGTTGTCAGGCGATGCCCCCAGACTTCTGCCTCTCGGATGACAAGCCATTTTCCAAACACTGGCCCACACCCAGCCGGCCCGTTGCTTGTAACTAAAGGAAAAGTTAGGCAGGAAGGCTTCCTCATGTCCCCCCACCGGGATTCTACCACCATTTTAAAGCCTAGAATGGGCAATTTAAAAATGCCTCCCATGACCGTTTCAGCGCTTGAAAAACCACGGGGAGGGGGGGACGACAAGAGGACCTC